ATGAATATATTTAGGTACTTGGGGAGAGGGGATCAAGGAAGAAGAGGGGGCAGGGACAGGAGAGCTACCATAGCCGCACTCAACTGCAGGTCTCCTTACGTATCGGATTTTTTCTATTTATCCTCAATCTCGTGATGGAGGATTTGGCTCAAGTCCAGTGAGCCACAATTAGACCCTTTCTGCTGGACCCGCTCCGAAGTGGCCGGCGGACTCAGTAAACAGTCGGGAACTCCGACGAGAGAGCTAAAAGGAACCATAATATCATCTACCTCTTGCTTTTCAGTTTACAGCTTATTTTAAGAAGCTTCACTACCGAAGACATTCTAAAAGAATGGGGGCCAGAATCGAAAAAAAATAATTTTGTTGTGGTATTTTAAGTGCAAGATTTATTGTTGTCAGACGGTAGCTGCTAAGGGACTTCAGAATTATTTTTTTCAGTTTGTATGTTGTCCCTTGAGAGTGGGACGAAATGAGAATATTTCAGTGATTAATTTGTGATGTTCATGTTCAGAAATGTTGTGTGTTTTGCTCAAATTGTTTGTTTGTTTTTAATATCCTCAAAGCAAGAAAGTCAGTAATAAGACTGCGGGTGCTTGATTTTGTGTTCGTCTTGTTCGTATGGTGGTGTGTTTGTTTTGTTGGTGTTCTTGTACCAGTTAATGTCCATTATTATTCTACTAGAGTGATGGTGTTTCGTCTTCGCTGTTGCTGTTTTTTTTAAAATCTCCCCGTGTATGTGTAAAAAGAGTGGTTAGAGTGTTTGGGGGAGCTGAGGATGTTTTCTCAGAGAGTAAACAAGGCATCCTTTTTTATTTTGTCTCGTCCCAAGGAATCTGTCTGTACATGTACTATAATCCTTTTAAGATGCTGGTGCATTGCATTTCAAAATATTCCTGTCACCGTATGTGCACATGACTCATTTCATGACTTATACCTGGCAAAATATTGATGTGTTGCAAGCGTCGCAACTGCTCCCCACATTGAAAGCATTATTTCATAAGGTATGAACCCTGCTATTTCTTGGGGAAGGGTGGGGGGGGTCAAATTAAGTCGAATTTAAGCATACTGGACCTCCTCGGATTCAAGATGTCTGCATTTGTGTGCTGTAGGAAAAATATATGTATATACGTACTTGGAAACCTGCTCTACCCGCTTCTGTCTAGTAAAACAAGTCGCGCCCAAATGTTTCTCTTCAAGATTGTAATCCAGTATGACGTATAACAGAATTACTTTTGTAATCCCTCTAAGCATATCCGTTGTTTCATTTTAAGGGGCGCTAGGTCAAAGCCCTTTCTTCCCCTTTGCAGACGAAATTATGATGCTGCATCCTTTAATATTTTTGTTTACAAAAGAGCAAGCATTGTTGAAATTTGAAAAAAAGATGGGAAAAAACCTTCCGGTCATATATCCAAATATAACTCACGGGAAAAAAATAATCAAAAACAGACTGAACTACTTTCAAGTCTCTTGAGGCTACAGGCTGTCCAACCCTCAGCGCTGTTCACGGTCAAAGCAATCAATTTCCACTGTTTTATTATTTTTTAGGAATTGATTTTCTGTCTGTGGAGATACAATTTTGGACTCTCACGGAATCTGTTGGGCTTTAGGATCAATCGGGAAATAATCCTCAATATAGAAGAGAGACGCCAAAGGAAACGGCCAGGACGGCGTAGGAGGCGGAGATGAATTGCGAAGGGGAAGAATCTGGTCGGGTGGCTCGGTTGTCCCCCCTCAGCTAGTGGTGACCTCTTCGACTGCTGGGGCAGGAGGGAATTCCCCAGGTAGATGCCGACCTTCAAACCAAATGACTATAAATTAATAAATTATATCACTTGTTGGACAAGTCCGGATCTGTTCTTTTTCATTTTCTTTTCGGCTTTTATTAAGTGGCTCTTTGATTTGTTGATTGTTGTTGTTGTTGTTGTCGTTGTTGTTGTCATAGGTATTGGTGTTTGTGGTGTATTGTTCAAGGATATATATTATAGTGTTGTGAGCCTTGCAAATCGTATCCCTTCTTTTCTCTACTCATACCAGGAGCGTGTGCGACCAGACAGGCGTGAAGCTAAACATGCGTGTTGGGCTACACACTGGCCGGGTGTTGTGTGGTGTCCTGGGACTCAAGAAGTGGCAGTACGATGTCTTCAGTAACGACGTGAAACTGGCCAACCACATGGAAGCTGGGGGCATTGCGGGGTAAACTGTGCTCTTGTGCTTCCTTTACATGCCATATTATGAGGCACTCTATTTTTGTATGAATTTGATTTTAGCTCTCAGTTCTCTTTCCCTGTATCTCTCTCTCTCTCTCTCTCTCTCTCTC